GTCATATATTACATATTTGTTTAATTTCTAAAACTATGATTTATATCAAAATTTTATTAGGGTCGCAGATAGCTACAACAATTTACTCCATATTTATCCCTTAATATCTCTTTCTAGTTAGATATGGAAATTCTCGATTCTTTACAAAAAATTTCAAGCCAATACCTCAATTACATTCAAAAATATGTTCATTTAAACCTGTGTCCTTTAATTTCATCTTTTTCATATTTTAGTATTAAGTATGACAGAACATACATTTGGTGTTGAATAAAATATTTGGACAATTTTTAAAAATTATTTAGTTAATTATTTTATTATAATATTGTATATAAAATAAAAAAAATTATAATTTTATTATGAGCCACGCACAACAACACCTAAATCACCCCACACAAATTACCTTTCCCGCCCACCGAAATATAAAACACAATTTAATACAATATCATCAGTTAGTATAATAGCTTTTTTTATTTGAACTGTTTATCTTAAACATAATACAATTAATTCTTACAACCTACTTATATAGTTAATTCCTAACACTACTTATTTTCTATAAAATAATCTGTCATATCGGTATACATATCCAGAAGGTAATATAAGTCCTTTAAATCTTCCTTGTTTTGAGATGATAGAGTTTCATAACAAATCCATCTTTTTCGCATAGTTGAAAGAACAGGATCAGAAGATAGAAGTAAACTATTAAAAATATCTTCATTCTGTGATTGCCTGGAGCATTTTCTTGAGATGAATAGTTGAACATGCTTAAAATCTCGATTCCTCGCCTCCTGGGTTTCTTCTGTTAACTCTCCAAGTAGAAGAATATTCGATTCAATTATTATTTGACAATGACACAATACTTTGTGTACTGTTGGTGTTAGTTCCCTCCATGGATAGAGAGATACAAGTAATTTAGAAATTTCAGATGTATATTCCCCAAATCGATTTCCATTAATTTTATGTTTACTATTCAGTGCCATTAAAATAGTGTTAACTCTTCGAAGCAACTCCTTGTCGATTCCAGTTATTTTTGAAGTAATTTTAAAATCACGAAAAAACCTTCTCGCCGTAATACCGTCATTTGTACTACCGCAACTTGGAAATGGTTGGTCGATGTTTAATCCCATCTGAACTTTAAATTCATCTTGGATTCTGCTTTTTTCCGCAGCTCTCAGTTCTTTAAATTCTTCATTATTTTTTGTTGATTTAGTAAGATTCTCTGGCACACTTCTATATTTGAGGTCGTATGCTATGTGTAAAAAGTAATCCAAAAATCGTATTCTGGCATGAAGAGGTGAAATTCCGAAAGACAGGACTTCTTCATTAATACTTCTGCTTTTGTTTATATTTGAGAACTGCGACTTTTTCTCATTACATATTGAGTATCTCCAGAAGGAAGAAGTTTCTGTTATGGCATTGCTGACCTTTCCATCAATCATTGTTAAGCTTAGCTGATATGATACGTTAATAGAGAATTCCTCTATTTTTATGCAAATGGGCTCCAGTGCATTTATTTCATCTTTTAAATATTCCACTAAATCTTTTGTTGTTTTCTTTGACTCCTTTATATATTCAAATCCAATGGGTCTACAAAAATTTGTTGAACCCGGAGTTGTATTGATCCATATATCTTCAATTTACTTCACATTAAGACAACATCACAGTTATGAATTTTCCTTAGTTGGTCTTCTGAAAAGTCTGACACAATTCATGATGCTGTGTTTTCAAGCAAAGATGATATGTCAATACAAGCTTCCACATCATTAACAGCAATAGGTGATGGTAGGATAGTTTGTTTTTTTTTCCTGGATCGCCTTGTATGATGGTAATATATTGTGTCCTTTTTCATGCAGAGCTTTCCTTAATATTTGGTACTTATTTCGACTGAGACCCAGTTCCAACATAAGCGCTACTGCTTCCTCTCCAGTAAAATTTGATTGTGATGTTGGAGTTGGTATACTCTCCACAATTCGCTTAAGTCGTTTTGGTGATGCATTAGGAAGAATAGTTGCAATATGTACGGCATCCATAGGTTGGTTTTCCTTTTTCAGCATTTCGTTAAATGTATCAGCAATTTTCTCATTTGAGATTGAAAAAAGTTTTTGTGTGACCCTCTTTTTTTGACCTTGAACATAAGTCTTCGTATGACTTGCAAGGCGCTCCTGTTGATGTGTTGTAAGTTGAGATTTCCGTAGTAGTTTCCATCCAACTACAAAATTTAAATCGAAATTTCTTTTGATTTCCATCCACAGACTTACTTTTTACATCAAAAAGTTTTCAATTTTTGATATGCCTGTTTTGTCTACTTTTCTACTATATGTAGTTTTTATATTGAAATGTCTTCAATTCTTCCTGGCCATTTTGAAGATACACTCCATAAAACGGAACACAACTCTTCGTACTTTAATGTAATCTTCATTGTGGATTTATTAAATATGGTACTTAAAATCTGAGAAGTTTACTTATATACCAATTCTTGTCATTTCCGATACAGGTATTCCAAAGTAAAAAATTACGAATTGTCTACCTATTAACATTTAGGACTATATTACTATAACCTGTAATTCAGTCATTGATATTTCTTATTAGTGAATGAATCGAAATTATCATTACCTGTATATTTTTACCTACATGATCATAAACGAAACAGAACGAAATGATCTGTCGAAAAAATTTAGGTAAAAAATAGTTATAAATTTCTGAAAATTTAAGCATAACAGGACCTTTCAATTATAAGGATAAGCAAACAAATAGAAAATAGGTAAATATAAGATTTAAATATGTTCTGTCATATTTAATACTAAAATATGAAAAATATGAAATTAAAGGATACAGGTTTAAATGAACATATTTTTGAATGTAATTGAGATATTGGCTTAAAAATTTTTGTAAAGAATCGAGAATTTCCATATCTAACTAAAAAAAGATATTAAGGGATAAATATGGACTAAATTGTTGTAGCTATCTGCGACCCTATTAAAATTTTGATATAAATCATAGTTTTAGAAATTAAACAAATATGTAATATATGACAAAATCTTTATTTATGAACAAAACTCAATGAAATTTTCAACGCTTGTTAAATTTGCCAAATTGAAAAGGTCAAAGGGCATCCCGCAATTCCCAAAAATAGGAATGAAAATCCCAAAAATGGGATTTTTTACTTTTTTGCCCATAGGGTCCACATTTCTTTCAGGGCTGGGAAAATACTCTTGGAGTAAATAGAAAACATATTGAGGTTTCCAAAACTGCTTTCAGTTTTCTGATCCCAGCTTTGGGATTTTAGAACATGTCGCCCAAAGTTGAAGTTTTGATAAAAAATAGGTCATATTCGGAAGGACGCAGTTGCAACATTTTCAAAAAATAGGACAAGTTTTTTACGCCAAAGCGTTCTGCGTAAAGATACCTTTTAGAAAACTATAAAATTGTTATATGTTCTTAAAGAAAATTTTATTTTATTAATAAAAGAGTTAACACACATTTTTGACAAAAAAACGGCAAAAATCTAAAATTTTTTGAATTTTTAAATTAAAAAACGTATATTTTTGGATCTGTAAATGATATTGAATTTTTTGTTTATTATTGGAAATTTTGTTGTCTAACTAACAAGAGTCCATTTGGTCCAAAATTACGCCCGCTATTCAAAAAAAGGCGGACCAAGGTATGGTAAATTTTGTATCACTAAATTTTAAAATGCCTATAACTCGGATATTATATAAGTAGTATGTCCAAGCATGTTTTTGTCAAGATCTCGTCGAGCGCTTTCAGAAAATATCTTTGTATTTGGGTGAAAAACAAAAAAATGGCACGAGTTTAAAAATTTTACATGTCGTAGGTACCCTACTTTTAGCCGCCACAGCGCCGTCCCTGGGGCATCTGCAGGGTTCATCTTCAAAACTTAAACTCGAATACTCCTTGGCTACGCTCACGCCAAATTTTATCCTGATCGAATCAGCCGTTTAGAAATGCCAGATTTATTTCCAAAAAATTTCGATTCTGCCCCACTGTGCATCAGTGCGTACCAAATGCAAAAACAAAATTGAAAAATTTTGTTGTTGCCGAAATGCCAGCACCTTATGTGAATTCGCCTTGATACGAACAGAAACCACAAAAAACAAAACACAATACGCAGCGCAATGAAACCAAATATGTACATCAACACATACATCTTTTTTCCAATACACAGTGTTGTTGTTGCTTATTTATCTCTATATATCAGTGCTGCCCATACACATACTGTTACACATTAATTTGTATTGGTAAAGCAGCAGAGAACAAAATGTAACCCAAAATAAAACTGTACTAATAAAATGACTGCAAACTAAAAAGTATATTCTAACTGTCAAATTGATATTATGAATTTTGACAGACAGCGTACATTAAAGTTCATATATAAAAAACTATCAGCTGTGCTCTCTCATTTATCTACATAAATTCGGCTTTCTCAAAATTTTGTTGTTGTATTTCTGTGTGGATTTCTAAAAAGTTGCGTACAGATCTTACTTCGACAAATGCTGATCAGCAACTGAGTTGATTTTGTTTTGCAAGTTGAGAGATAATCAACTTACACATGCTCAAATAAAAAAATACACAAGTAAGCTTATGGTGTAGGTGAGTCAACGCAACGTCAGCAGAAATTTCTTGCCCTATCTCGCGTGATAGGGACCCTGCGGTAAAAATACACATTATGTACTCGCTTATCTAAGCAGTATTTCGTGGCAGTCAGTGGTGATGCTTTCACTTATTCTTCCACTTAGATTTAACATAAAAGTGTCCTAGGCTGCCTCATCGATGTGCTCTCGCTTAGAATGTAAGCCACAATATCATTAAGACAAATTAAAATGTCACTTACATAATGTGTGGAGTTCTAAGCGAAGTTAATGAGACGCCTATAAACGCTTGCAAATAATAATGTAATGTATGTAGATTACAGCTCTATTTGCATTTGTAAGTTACATGTGGTACTATGCATACTGAATTATTAATAAAAATAAAAATAATTTGTTATATATTTTTTATTAATTTAAAAATTTAAAAATAAATAAGAATTATGAAAATGTTTATAAATTCAATTCAATTAAAATTCAATGGAAAAGTATGTAATCCAATCCAAATTGTATGCAATCCAAAATCCAATTGATAAGAAAAAAGAAAAATAGATATGGACATTTTTATGTGTTTTTAATATTAATTTTGCTTTCTTTTTCTCTGGATTTTTTTGAAAAAAATCTATTCTTATAAATTTTGAAACAGTGTTGCATTTTCTTTTTAAATACTTGAATGGTATAGCCATCTTCCTTTAGAGCTTCTGTAAAGGAAAATAGGAAATTACTAAGAATATATTTAAATGAGGAAGTGTAACATAAACTTACCGTAAATTACATCATGCAGCGACTGGAACTCCTTTAACCCCCTCTTGCCATTCAATCCATCATAATTTAATGACAGATATACATCTTTATTCAATAATCTATCAAAATTTTTTTCTAAACCGCCTGGCCTCAATATTGTCTTAATTTTTGGAATCTAAAAAACAGATATACTTATATATATACATATTTGTAAATCAATTGATTTTCTTTATTGTTTTTAGAAATTTACATATGAATTTGGGTCGGCAGAAATAAGGCTGTTAAGTTTTTCCATATCTTCAATATTTAAAATTGGGAAATCTGGGTCATTTCCCACATGCACGTTTTTTTTACAAGTTGTTTAATTATTATTGTAGCTTGAATTTGATCAGCTGAAAAAATTAATTATAGAAAAATTTAATAATTGTTTTATATGTGTATAATTTCCTTAAACAGTAAACGTCCTAACTTTCAAAGTGAAAATTTTAATATTTTTCATTTTGAACACACACCAGATGTTTTTAGGATCCTAATATTGAATTATTCAATCGGATACATTTTTAAAGATTTTTATTTAAATTTAAAATCATCAAAATCGGAGAAATTTCGGAGAAATTATCAAAATTGACAGCTGCGAAAATGGAATTAAAAAAAAACGACTTTTACCCCTTAAACATGTATGATTTTGCAATGTAATAATGTACGTTTTATTTTTACATTTAATGATTTAATTTGTTCAATATTCGAAAAGACTTTTCTATTCTGAGTAAGAATGTTTAAAAATTTCTTTCCGAATTATGGGCCGAAAAATACAATATTTACAAAAAACTGATAAAATCTGTTTTAGAGATCTAGATGAGTTAAAAAATGATATCAGTTGGCTCACAGTGATCTATGTTCATAATGTATATATACATATATATATATATATATATATATATTATAATACTTAAAACATATATTAATACATAAGATAAATCTGGCAGCATGCAATTATTATAAACCATGCTATCAATCGTATACTGAATGTCATGAATGATTTGTTATTAAAAACAAGAAGAAGTCTTTGTTTACATTTTTGTTTTTTATCAGTACTTGTTTTTTGGTCATTAGAAAAAGGAGAAATAAACAAAGTTAAACACAATTAAGGAAAATAATCTAGATAAAGCGGAGAGACTCAGGTGAGTCGAAAAATTATTAAAACTTAAAATATTTTATTAGTTTCACTTTATTTATACATAGGTATGGGCCAAGCCTTTTTATACAAATTGTCCACGTCGAACTTCTTTCTATACCAGGATGAGCTTACGTTACAATACGCAAATAAAACTGCGATTAATAAGAAGGTCCAGCGCAACATAGAATTATAGAATTATTAGACATTGATTGCAAATCCTTAAAAATACCACAAGCACAACCACTAATGGCGTTTTTTTGTGCATGATTAGTCCAACTTTAAGTATCAGTGATTTAAGTGAATGGATATTTGAAACAAAGTATAGAGGCATGGGTACCTACAGCAGAAAACAGCAATGATGGAATTGAAGTGTGTATATTATAATTAAGCCTACAAGAAATTTAAGTACTGGTGGCAATGGTTTTGAATCTTAGGAATTTGTGGGCGCTATACAAATGCCAATTTCATTAATTGATAGAAAACATGAATTGGTCTATGAGAGAAGACAACCAAAAACAGTGCAGAAAACGGCGACATATGTGAAAGTAAAATAAATAATATTTAACAAGAAGCACTTTTTAAGTGGCAATGCGAACGCATCAAGGCTTCAAGGTAACAATAACATTTACTTACGAAAGCATAGTTCTTTTGAAGTTATTTTTATTAATAAATAAATTTAACCATTTTTTGTACTACTTTGGACTCAGCCGGTATTACGAATGGCCTTAATATTTAATGATTTTTCGATAATATCATTGACAAGAAACCATGATCATAAGAAACGAGATTTATATCCATGTCTCTTTAGTCGACGTTATAATATTAGCATCGCCCTAAGGCAGTCCCACAATAGTTTCAACAGCAAATACATATTTGCAGTCCTCCCATGGAAGTTGTCAGACAAATTATAAAAATACCTGCCTTATGTTAATATTCTAATTTAATCATAACAAAGTTTTTCATTACATATATATAATTTTTAAATAAATAAAAGTATTTAAGCAACATCATTCCCAATTGTTTATTAAATTAATAAATTTGAAATCAAATTGGAAATGGACCAAGTCTTTTAATATTAGTTAATTTTAGTTTGGACGTTTTGCGTTTTAGGTGACATTATATATATCTATGTACATATATACCTTTTAGTTTATCCAATTCATTTTCTATTTTTGTAACCTTTTCCAATAAGACTGTTTGATTGTTTAATATTTTCTCAAGCATTAACATTATACTTTAATTTTCGTTGTTATTGTTTTTATAGATTTTCTGACAATTGACATTGTTATCTTTAATATATTAAAATTAGTAAATATCGTTAGTATGAATAATAGGTATCAAGATGATGCTATCATTGTATGGTAGAGATACGTATTTGAACAAAATATCTTTTACAGGAAATTTTTCGTCCTCATTTAAAGCGGATGGTAACGTTATATATATTCCCATATCAGGGCCTGATTTCAATGGAGTTTCAAAGAAATTATTGAGTGAATTAAATTTCTTTCCAACAGCAAAACATTCATTATTTTCTTCTATAAATGACGTTATTAGAAATGGAAATCCGGGTGATATAGCGCAGATATTATTCGGCTTTCTTGTTGTTAACGTAAACAAATCTGTTGCAAAAGACTTAACCAAACCATTTTTGTTTCTTTTTAATTCTAAACGTTTCCTTCTTATGGGATATTTGTACATACAAAATTGATTGTTGAGTTGTTGTAATACATTCGTCGGACTTCTAACTTTTTTCTTTATAATTTGAAGAAAGTTTTCAAATTTATATGCCGAAAATGTTTGTGGATGACCTATATCGCGTACGCATTGACAAATATGTAGTAAATTGTGGATGTTTTGAGTCAATCTTTTTTCAGGATATAAAGAACTAAAATGTTGTACAAAATCCTTAAGCATACTTTCGGAAATGTCAATCTGCTTTAAATGATTAGCTTCGGAAAGTAGTAGTCTATAGGAGCAGTGAAGTAACATCCAGTGATAATAGTAATCACTGTTTAAAACATATTTTAAAACAACTATAGATGTATATAAAATGAACTGTCTATATTCAATTGGCTTTCCACCTTGGCAACTCGTCCAGAATCCTTGGCTTTCTTGCGAATTCACAGGGAATATATGAATTTAAGGAAATGAGCTTTTCTGAAATAAAATTTACCTGGTCCTTATGTAATTTATCAATTAAAGACTCCCCGTGAATGAGGCAATTCAGGATTTTTTTTGTGACTCCTAGATCAATTAAATGCATCACATCAATAGGAAATTGAGTAACCATCTTCACGTTGAGTTTTTCTAATGAAATTTTTTCTTCCCTAAAGAAATCTATGTGGTAATCACTATCTTTCCGGGTTGAAAAGTCCATATCTGTTCGAATAACACCAATACTGTCACTATAAACCGTGACATTGGAAACTCGTCGACCTGTTTGTGTACATTTTGAGCAACCTTTAAATGCATTATGGCCAACAGTACCGCAGAGAAATGATCGTGCTGGCGAATCACATACAATTGCCCGTATTTTAATTGACACCGTAATATCATTTATTGTATATCCATTTTCTTGTAATTCTGACATTTCACTAAAAAATCATGCAATAATGGTTTACATTTTGTGGTTTCTTTTCACCAAAATATGATCCTATTAAGAACACACGAGACTCTGATATGTTGTGTATATGACCCATAATGGGCCACAAGCCTTTCTTTGAACTTTTGAATAATGGCAAGCCGTCAATGCCGATGTCTAAATTAGTTCCTTATATTTTATAATTACACTTTTTATGGCATCTAAATATTTTCGTACTCCCAAATGAAAATATTCTCCCGGATTAACACTTCGCACAATTATTTCATTTCGTCTTCTAATTAATGTATTGGTTGAAACCGGAACCTCAATATTTTCGGATTTTAGTATTTTTAATAATTCGTCACAACACTTTCTCCCTGGATTATATTTGTTGTACCAGGCACTTAATTTTTCCGTTATGGACGAGGAGTTGATCGATTGAGTTTCAAAGAAATTAATATTTAAATCATCTTCACATTGAATGGTATCACCGGGATTGTTAATTTTATTATTAACACTTGTATTATTTTCATTGCCTTTTTCTTCTATTGTCCCTTCTTTTTTCTTATTTACCAAACGCCTTAAATTTCTGGACGAAAAACCTTCCATTTTTTATTAAATATTTTCACCTTTTAAAAAACACGTCACTTCTAATACAAAACTTCTTTGAACATAAACATTTATTTTGTTTTCCATTTCTTTTATGTATACAACAAAAAATGTGTGTTGGTTTGTATGTTTATATGTTTGTATGTTTGAACGTTATAGACTACTAAACGGTTAAACCGATTGTCTTTAAATTTTCACAGCGTATTTCTGTATGTCTGGAAGAGGTTATAGGCTACTTTTTATTTTGAAATTTCAAGTGGGCGAGGAGCCACGCCCATATTAAGAAAATATTAAATCCCTATATTTGAGATAATATAACAGTTAGAGTCCTCAAATTTTGTCGGAGCCACTTTAGTGTCAATATGATTATTTAGGACAAAAAGTGTGCGGACTAGCGTTAGGGGGCGTGGCACCTCTCATATAAATTAAATACAAAAATTAGTTTATCTTGGAAACTACTACAGTTAGAATCTTTAAATTTTGCACGAATAACTTTAACATCCATGTAAACAATTTGGATAATAAATTAGCGGACCACCCATGAGGGGAGCGGCACCTCCCATACAAATTAAATACAAAAATTCGTTTATCTAAGAAACTTATAGAACTAAATTCTTCAAATTTCGCATGAAGAACTTTAATATTCATCTGAACATTTTGGAAGAAAAAGAGCGGACTTTCATCTGGGTGGACTTGGAGCCCCCATATGAATTAAATAGAAAAATTCGTATATCTGAGAAACTATTAGAGCTAGAATCTTCAAATTTTACTCGAAAAATTTGACATTCATCTGAACATTTAGAGTATAACGTTTTAATCAACTAATAGAAGTTGATTTTTCAAATTTTGCACAAATTACTTTAATATTCATCTGAACATTTTGAGGAAAAAGGGCGGATTTTCATCTACATGAATTAAATAGAAAAATTCGTATATCTGATAAACTATTAGAGCTAGAATCTTCAAATTTTACATGGAGAACTTTGGCATTCATGTGAACATTTAGAGAGTAACGGGCGGACTTTCAATGGGGGGCTTGGCACCACATATATGAATTAAATACAAAATTTCGTATATCTTGGAAACTGTTAGATTATTCAAATTTTTCATAGTTAGATAGAAATAGGCGAACTTGCAATAATTTGCGTTGCATCTCTCATATATAACATATTGTAAGCCTGGAATACTATTGTAGTTATAAATAAAAACCCACTTAACGATTTTGAAGATTCTATTGCTTTTATAGTACACTGGGTATAGCTAGTTTATACATATTTGTAAGTTTTTTCTCTAAGCCACATTAGTTGAAAAAAACATTAACATTTTTTTTTTTAATTTTTCATGACATTTTCAGAGGTTGTCTCAGATTTTTGCTCATATCTCCGTTATTTATGGACCGATTTTGCTGATTTTCAATAGGAAATTTCTCGAAAGTGTGTCCAACACAATTATTGAAGATTTAGATTCCGAAGATACTGGGAAATAATTACATTTTTCGCGGGGTGGTGACCCAAAACACATGCCAAAAACCGTGAAAATGCCTTACTGACAAAATTTCTCATTGATTAAATGGTCAGCCCAAAGTACTGGCCTCAATCCAGTTGAGATTTTGTGATGGACCCTGAAGATACGGTTGGGAAACCCCAACTCAATTTGGAGGACCTTTGGCAACGGGCTCAGCGTGAGTGGGAGAGTATTTCAAATAGAATAAAGAACAATTTATAGAAAAGTGCAAAAAGTGATTTATTTAACATCGGACCTTGCAAACAATTTTAAAAATACTAGCCTTCCCTAAAGATTTCGTGGTGAGCAAAACTGAGTGCATGCGAGTTATTTTAGTTTTGTTCGTTTTTTACTAAGAAATTTACGCTTTTCGGCCTCATTTGTGATACGTTTTTCAAATATTATGTAGAAAAGAAATCACAAAAAAAATGTTTGGATTTGATTTATTAGTTTTGTTTTTATTCCAAATAAAGTGCAGAAATTACACTCATATTTGCTCGCCATATAGATTTTTATACATTGCGTATATCTTGAGGTCTTTCATATACGTAGGACATGTCCTCAAAATATGCGCAACATATAGGATACATTGTGTTGTCATATATACGATATTTTGTGTTGCCATATACTTTTCAATACATTTTGCGGCGTTGGATTTTTTCACATGTCGCCTAAGAACTTCACGCAAAAGATTAACAGTGGTGCTACCACGAAAAAATAACGATTTCAACGCATATTTTTACCAAACAGCGGAAAAAATCGTCTAACTTTCATAATATCACCTACAATGCAGCATATTTTTGTTGACAAACGTAAACAAACAAAAAAACACTTTTGTTTGTATTTCTAGAATTTTATTTATAAAATTTTATTAAATAATTTTAATTTGGAACACAGTATATGTTCGAAAAGGTAAAGGAAAGTGTTATTGCTGAAAAGAGGTTTGTTAGCAGATAACACTTACTATGGTCCCCAATGGTCTTGCATCCAGTTGAGTCTGCAACTTAATCAACCTTGTAATCAAACTACAGATCAAAATTTGAAGATAACTTAATTAAATTCGGTACATGATCTTCTATTGTACCAATCCAATATTTCACCTAGCCCCCATACAACCGGGGCAACCGAATAAAGCTCATAATTATGTTAAATATACTAGTAATTTAACACAGATCGGCAATAGTATCACGATGAATTCACACAAATGACTTTTAAATAAACAAAAACCCGCCAGTAAATTTTGTGAGGATCGGTTCACATTTACCTTAGCCCTCATATAAATAGCTTTTGAGATAAGATTTTCATCAATAAATTGCTTAAATATATCAGAATTAGGGTAAAATTCAAAATAAATGCTTTATTATAAAAATAAATCACATTTTAAATGTAATTTTTTATTACAATTTTTTGATGATGCAACTTTTTCATATTTTTGCTCCCGCGGAATTTATAATTGGAGGATTTTTTTCTCGAGAAAAATGTTTTCCGTGAGAAAGAAATTCTTTGAGAATATTCATGATTGGGCTGATAATTTCCATTTGAAAAAAGTTTGAACAACACTTATACATATACATACGTATAAACAGAATTATAAATATTTCAAATTTGAAATAAATTTAAAATTTCAAATTATTTTTCAAATTAAAAAATAATTTTTCCAAAATAATTTCTATTATGAATGAATTAGAATTTTCATCTGATGACTCCATCGTTGATAAAAATTATGTGGTTCCTAGTCAAAAGCGAACAAGAAAGGTTTATAAGAAACCAAATATAACAAATGATATATATTTTCAAATTAAACAAAAAGTAAGTAAAATTCATTCATATTATATAATGCTGTAAGTAAAGCTAAGTTTTGTCCATATAAAGCATTAAACTACTGGGTATCAAAAATTCCCTATTTTTAAGCTTATTACGATTGTAATATTTTAAACGAAAATAGACTGTACTTTCAGGTTAAAATTAAAATCTGAAAGAGATCTTAAATGAGAGATAGGGTTTAATGTGGTCCGATTTCACTATATTTTACAGTATAAAAATAACTTGCATTAAAATTTATCTCGATTAATCAGATAAATGTCCCTTCATATCTGTATTACGAAGGGACATTTGTATGGAGTTTGGTGAAATTGAGGACCGATATTTTTTGTTTTGAAATTTATGGGGAACATAAAAACATTTATTTGAACAATCCTAATACACACATGTTTTAATATTTGTCACATAAATTATAATTTATTTTTTTGTAATTTTAATTTTCAAATGTATGTATGTATTGGAAAATACCCTTCAAACATTTAAAAGAGAAAACTATTGCGCATCACCCCAGACGCCACGTCAGAAACACTTCTGGACGATTGTCAGACGAGAACGCACATTTTACAAAAACAAAATACATTGATTTCGAATTTTCGTCTTCTAGAAATATACTTTTAAGTTACTTCCGGATGATAGTTAGAAGAGTGCATCCATTTTGCTTAAACAAAAAACCATGCCTGTTGAATTTTTTTCATCTGGAAGTATACGTTTTAGCGACTTCTGTATGAGAGTTGGGTGAGAACACACATTTTACAATAACAAAATACATTGTTTCCTAATTTGTATCTTCTTGATTTGTATGTTTATGTCACTTCTGGAAGACAGTTTGAAGAGTGTTCACATTAATGTTGTATTTTATTCATCTGGAAGTGTGGATTGTAGTCACTTCTGTACAATTGTCAGACGAGAGCACACATTTTACAAAAACAAAATACATTGATTTCTAGTTTTCGCCGTCTGAAAGTATACTTTTAGGTTACTTCCGGATGATAGTAAGAAGAGTACAAAAACAAAAAATATAAATACTCCATTTTTTAGCGTGAAAAAATAAAAATAAATAATGCAGAAATTTTGTTAAGTTCAGTGATGTTTTGTGTTTTGTTCAGTCATGTTCAGTTTTAATTATTCATCGTAAAACTTAAATGAGTTCTTGAATTTAATGTTCATAGAAAAATAGTGTAATTAAAATATTGTGAATCTTAAGTAATAAAAAACAATATGACAGTGTTGTGTTAAAAATCAACTGTTAATAAACATTTAAGAAGGTTTTCTTAATTGGCGAAGTGTATTAAATATATACCAAAAAGTATAAGGAAGGATTATATAAATAAAATTAAAAAGTAAGTTGTCATATTAAAATACTATTTTAGGAATATGTTAACAACTCTAAACGGCTTCCATTTCCATTATTTTCAAAAAAGTCTAATATGTTTCATTAAAAATGTTTTTATATTAAATTTCGACTCTCTCTTAATTCGTTTAGGAGGTATAAGCATTTAAAGACTTTTTCAAGTTGTACATTTCGGCTTTCATTTGATGAACATTGCATTTTTAACATATTTAGATTTATTTGAGTTAAATCTTAACTTTCAATATTTTTAAACTATTTGCGCGTTTAGGTCTGGAATCACTATATTGAAATTAATACTACTGTTTTATACATAAATTATTTTTTGACTTGGGTCACTCGACACGAAATTGCCCATATAAGATATTTAATATTGAAATCAGATAGTTTTAAACCCACCTTTTTTAAATAAATACAATTTTATTAATTTCCATATAGCTTTGGATTTAATTATTCTAATTATAGGTAC